GGTCGTCTCAATGTTACATGTATGGCTCTATATGGCAATTAGCTATGCGTTGTTGTCTCAATGCAGCTCAAGAATGCAGTTTTTCGGAAGAGTTCAAGTTAATTGACCGGATTATATTAAAAACATTTTGCTCTATACTGTACCTAGAAGAAATCCGCAATTACTCCAAGCAAGAGATATACAAAACCTGTATAGTTTTTAAATGTGTTAATCATTTATAAAAAAACCATTTATTCTCTATATTGTATTCATACCGTAGTATATTGTTAAATAAACGCTCTGGATGGAGTCAAATCTTGGAGCCTCATGGGGACAAAACATTCCATGTACGGTTGTTTGTGGTTGCATCCTTCCGAAAAACAATTGACCAAGTGAAGTTTTTTAATTACGGGTGCTTTAGGTTGACACAAGATCGTAGACATTTAGGTTGATTATCGACAGAAACATAGGTAAGAAGCAGTTGGTTCAAATCAAGGAAACTCTATTCGTATGGTATATGTGAGAGAACAATGAGATCTCCTCTGCATTCATTGGTGTTCAATTCTGTAACAAATTGTTGCAAATTTTCACTCTGATTCCTTTATCCGTTTTCTCCCAAGAATGTATTTGAAAGAAAAGAGCTTTGAATAAAAAGAAGAAACCAAGCTCATTCCCGAAATGCCACAAACACATATAATCAGAGTATTACAATTAGAGTTGGTTTACAGAAAACCACAGGATTTTGATCAAACAGCAAAACACTAGATTAAGCCTTCTCCTAACCTATTTAAACCATAGTTAGGTTAAAGTAACAACTTCAAAAGGACAACTTACCACATAAACAAGACCAAAATACGGCTTTTCTATTATCACTGATCATTTGCAGCCTCCACGAGCTTTGCCAGAAACCTGAGCTTCTTCATCTCTATTTGCACTTCCTCAGCGGATAAGGCTTCCATTCCTGGCTAATTTCTCTTCTTTTTCCCTGTTCAAGGTTCATCAACTTCTGAAGCTGCAACTTCTTCAAACATTCACTTAAACCTTGCGACAGCAATGTTAAGAGAATACTAGTATTATTCCGATAACAAAGATTACAACATTGAAACTTTAACACCCGTTTCTTACTTCTTGAAGAAGTCATAACACCTCAATAACTTATACCACAACTAACCAATTCCAAATTCAAATAATACTCTTATTAAACCAACTTAATCCGTTTCAACATAAAACCGTCTTTAAACCATTATTAAATAAAAACCAACTAAAAATATTTTTAGTTTAAAATAATAAATAATAAATAATATAAATAAATAAAATCCGTCCTTGCTCCCGAAAAACAGAACCACACCGATTTGACTCCTCCGGTTACTTCTTACGCTCACCTGAAAAGGTAGGGGTGAGTAATTTGGATTACCCAGTGAGTGTGAGCCTTAGAGCTCACTAGATCCACCACACACATTCATAACCACAGACACATGTTTAATCTTAAGTTAAAACACACAGTCAAGCATCACGCCCTGTTCTACAACTCTATGGTGTCCCTGCATTTTGCGCTAGTTCCGGGAATCTACATCCCGTCACTGCCTATGCAGCACCCGGCTCGTCAGCCAACTTTGAGCTATGCCCACCCATACAGGACCCGTCTCCATAGCCCAACACATAAACGGATCCAATGTGAGGGTAAAACCCGTCCCACTTATGGCCGTTACCGCGGACACACCGTCACATATCTTATGACATTTATATCCTCTCGACTCACATTCGATTTCACTTTTATAATTAAACATTATCACACATTATTCATATCACCACTCAACCATATTCATCTTTAAACACTTTAACCACCTCTAGATTATTCTCAAACAATTATTAATATTTATATAAATATTATATTTATATTTAGCACTCAAATACATATATCTAATATATTATTTGCGAAGTGAAAATTTCGTTTAGAGGCACCACATTCATTCTCAGCTGGTTGATTACCCACTTACCCTTAATGAAAATATATTATTAAATCTTCATAATTTTCTTTTTTATTATTATTCACAAATTTGATAATTCATTAAATATAAATATTTAAAGATAAAAATTACGCGGTTTGAATTTCGTTTTGGGGCGTAGCCTGTCAAGTATTGACGGCTAAAAAACCCTAATGGTATACCTATATAAAGATTGTATGTTAGCACTTTTGAAAGTGTTTTGTCGTTACATAGACCTAACAACATACATGTCATATAAATATTAGACCTATGGTTTCTAATTTGTATCAGATAAATCAACATGCTTTCGTTTATGTGTGACTTTTGTTCTTGTGATGATCGTGAACATAATGAGTCATAAATCTATCTCACATGATATTGCTCTATCTATTTGCTAAACTTTTTCTTAAGTCTCTTTGCTCTTTGCTATCTATCGTTGATCTTTTTGTTTGGTTTGTTCTTTCGGTTAACACTGTCTTTAAATAGTTTTCAGAAGAGAACTTGAAAATCAATTTTGATTTAGATGGAGATCAAGAGGTGTTAGATAATATGCTTTAGGTTTTGTGTATTTGTTGATTTATGTTATTCTTGTGTGTTGTTAATATATTGCCACAGATCCATGGCACATCCGGGAAACAAGAAAAGTCTGGTGGGAAAACAATATGTCGGATACAAGAATAAGGAGAAGAAGATAAAAGAGGTCGATGATTTCCTTTTTAAATTTGGGAGTTATCAGATGATGAAGTGAAACAATTCATACCGAAACAGTTAAAACTGAGTTATGGCATCCTCTCACCCTTCTCTTTGGATTCGTTGGGTGAAGACATACCTCATCCAAAAAGATTTCTTCTGGTCCGTAAAGGAAAACACAAGCTTGGGTTCTTGGGTCTGGAGGAAGCTGCTCAAATACAGAGACAAGGCAAAGCAGTTCTACAAAGTTGAGGTGAACAATGGTCGAAATACATCATTCAGGTTTGATGTTTGGTCTCCGATGGGGTTCTTATTTGATATTACGGGATCACGTGGGTTTATTGACATGGGTTTACCCATAACTGCTACGGTGTCAGAGGCTCTCTCTAGCCGTCGAAGACGTAACCACCGTACTGAGCACTTGCGAATGATCGAGAACCTGCTGAATACATATCGGAATCGGGCTGACCATGAAAGAGAAGACATATCTCTATGGAAACATTCGGAAAATGTATACAAGCCCCTGGAGAGTTCAAAGAAGACATGGCTGCAATTGAGATTGACTGGACCTATACGTAGTTGGTACAGGGGAGTTTGGTTCACTCACTCAACACCTAAATTTTCGTTCTTTGCTTGGTTAGTGGTTCACAATTGACTGTCCACCGGAGATCGAACACAATCTTGGAATGCAAGCATAAACTCGACTTGTGTTCTTGATCAAAGTCAGGTAGAGAAACGAAGCCATTTGTTCTTCGCATGTAGCTTCTCAGCAGAAGTATGACACGCCTTAACGAGGGCTCTCCTCAAATGAAGATACTTCACGGACTGGCACACCATCATCTCCGTCATATCCCACACATCTCAACCACGCCTCAATCTCTTCCTCACTAGGTATGTGTTTCAAACGGCGATACATAGCCTCTGAAAGGAAAGAAACTCGCGGCGGCATGGACAACAACCACTCTCTTCAGCTCAGATCATCAGTAATATAGACAAGTTTGTTCGGAACCGGCTCTCATCCATCCGCATGTTGGGAGATACAAAGTTTTAAGATGCCCTCCAAACTTGGTTAAAAGCAAGAAGATAACGCCTTATAGACGTATGGTACTATTTTGTATCAAACTTTCAAAATTAAACAGCACTTGATGTATAAAACGATTTTTTGGGTTTGAATTAATTTTCTATTCAATTTGGAAAAAAATGATTTATGCAAAAAGAAAATATAGTTTCGGTTTTTAGTTTGATTATTCGATGAGATATGAATCATTATTAATGAATATTTTGTTAATTTGTGGATTAGAAATTATGTTCTTCGTTGATTCTATTCCTAAAACTAAATCAGAGTAAATACTGAAAAGAGATTAAACGGTAAAATAAGTAAATAGATTGGTGAACTAAGAAAATAGGTTATACATGAGTTACTGTGTATAAACATACAACTGTTTGATTGACCCCAACGAAGGACTAAACTCATATCAATCAATGTGTGTTGCTTTTGTGTTATGTCGTTGTTTTGATAAAAAAGAATAATATAAGAGCCAAGAAGAATAAGAAGGAAAAACTGAGAAAAGAAGATTGGAGGATAAAAAAGACAAAAGTAAAGTATAAGAAGATAATACAAAAAAAAATCCGAAAATAAGATGTTTCAGAAGATGAAAGAAGTACAACAAAAAATAAATAACAAAAAGGTATGAGGAAGAAGAAAAATGAGAAGATGAGAATAAAGAGGAAGACGAAACTGATAAATAAGATGTTGCAAAAAATAAGAAGATTGATAATACAAAATGATGAAGAATACAAGATGAAATAAGAACAAAAATCTGAATAAAAATAAAGAAAATACGAAAGTTGGAAGACGAAGACGGGAAAGCAAAATAAACAAAACAAAAGAAGAAAAGAATTGAAGAATATGTGAACAATAAAGAAGTTGGAAAAATCAATGAATACAAAAAAAATGAAGAATAAGAACTCAAAGCCAATTGAAAAAAAAATTGTAAATAAAAGGAAGAAAATCAATAAAAACCATGAAATTGAAAGATAACGATGAAGAGAGAGGAAAAGAAGAGGTAGAAGATGAAGGAAAACAGTATGAAATAAGTAAAAAACAAATTAAAAGAAGAAGAAGATAAAATGGGGTTGGAGTTTATGATATATGGTTTATATTGATGGGCGTAAGGTTTAGTTTTTGGTGTATTTTTAAAAATTTGAATTATTATGGACCTATATCAAAATTTAAAATCATTGATAATAAATTTATATCTACCATTCGAAAATACATTCACAAATAGGAAAAAATTAGAACAATTAAATTAAATCCATAATCAAAAGATAATAAAACAAATATCTTATTTAAAGATCTCCGATTACATAAAGATAAAAACTATTTCATGAATCCTTGAAAATCTATACTATTGAATGAATTGATAAGTGAAATAGAAGACGAAAGTTGGATGACGAAGACGGAAAAACAGAAGAAGAAAAGAATTGAAGAATATGTGAACAACAATGACGTCGGAAAAATAAAAATATATAAAAATGAAGAGTAGGAACACAAAGCCAAATGCAAAACAAATTGTAAATAAAATGAAGAAAACAAATAAAAACCAGGAAATAAAAAGATGACGATGAAGAGAGGAAAATAAAAAGAGAATATAAAGTTTGATAAGAATAAGAAAAAATGGTAGAAAATGAAAGGACAAATTATGAAAGAAGTAAAGAAAGAAAAAAAATTCTTATAAGAAAAATAAAATAAAATAAAAGTAAAAGTAAAAGTAAATTTAGAACCAATTTATAAAATGTGGGGTCCAGAGTTGCGGTTTGGGGGGGGAATTATAATGTGGGGTTTAGGTTTATGGCGTAGGGTTGTTTGGGGGGGGAGGTTGTAACACCGTGGGGTTTGGGTTTATGATGTAGGGTTGTTTAGGGGGTGGTGTTACACTATGGGACTTGGGTTTAGGATATAAGGTTTATATTGATGGGTGCAAGGTTTAGTTTTTGGTGCATTTTTAAACATTCGAATGGAAGAATATCATAATTAAAATTCATTGCTTATAAATTTATATCCATCTTTCTAAATTACATTTATAAATAGAAAAATTAAGGATTTAAGAAAATCCATAATGGAAAGATAACAAAACCAACATATATTTAAAAGATTTGCACTATATAAAGATAAAAACTATTTCACAAATCCTTGAAAATAAACTATCAAATGAATTGATTGGTGAAATATAAGACGTAGACAAGAACAAATAAAAACACAAGTAAAATAAAAGAAGACAGTAAAAAAGAAGAGGAGAAATTTGGAGAAGACAAAAAAAACTCGAACATGAGGTAAAAGAAATCAAAGCAGAAAAAATGAAATGTGAAGAGAAAAAAAAAGACAAAAAAGAGATAAATAAAAACTAGAATAATATGATGTTAGAGAAGTTGAAGATGATAGAGATAGAGAGAGGGGGAATGAGGAAGAAGAAAAACCGAAAAAAAAATGTAAAGAAAATTAGAAAGAAAAAGAAGAATAGTGAACTCGAAGATATGAAGATATAAAAAAAGATTGAAGAGCAAAAATTGGAAAAAGAAAAAGAAAAAGATTATGAGAACCAATATCAAATTGAAAGAAAAATAAGAAGGTGAGATAATTGAAGAAGAACAAAATAAGAAGTGGGAAAATAAAAATGTTGAGAAAAACCAATAAAGAAAAAATATGAAATATGAGAAGATGAGAAAACATAAATAAAAGAAAATAAAGAGGAAGACGAAACTGATAAATAGATGTTGAAAAAAAAAAGACTGATAATACAATATTAAATAAGAAGAAAAACATGAATAATAATAATAAAGAAAAGACGAAAGTTGGAAGACGAAGATGGAAAAACAGAAGAAACAAAACATAAGAAGAAAAGAATTGAAGAATATGTGAACAACAATGACGTCAGAAAAATCAAAATATATAAAAATGAAGAATAAGAACACAAAGGCAAATGAAAAATAAATTGTAAATAAAAGGAAGAAAACATATAAAAACCAGGAAATAAAAAGATGACGATAAAGAAACATGAAAATAAAAAGAGAATATAAAGTTTGATAAGAATAAAAAAATGGTAGAAAATGAAGGAAAAAAATTATGAAAGAAGTAAAGGAAGAAGATAATATGGGGATAGGTTTTATGATGTATGATTTATATTGATTGGCGTAAGGTTTAGCTTTTAATGCACTTAAATATTCTGAATATAATACATTACCGATTAAAAGAAAATTCTTTTAAGAAAAATAAAATATAAATAAAAGTAAAATAAGAGAAGACAGTAAACAAGAAGAAAATAAATTTGGAGAAGAAAAAAAAAACTCGAACATGAGGAAAAAGAAATCAAAGAAGAAAAAATGAAATGTGAAGAAAAAAAAGTCAAAGAAGAGATAAATAAAAACTAGAATAATATGATGTTAGATAAGACGAAGGTGATAAAGAAAAAAACCGAAAAAAATGTAAAGAAAATTCGAAAGAAACAGAAGAATAGTGAACTGGAAGATATGAAGATATAAAAAAAGATTGAAGAAGAAAAATTAGAAGAAGAAAAATAAAAAGATGATGAGAACGAATATCAAATTGAAAGAAAAAGAAGAAGGTGAGATCATTGAAGAAGAACAAAATAAGAAGTGGGAAATCTTTTGTATCTCTTGAAACGAATGGAGAAAAAGAGGAAAACTCGAACATGAGGAAAAAGAAATCAAAGAAGAAAAAATGAAATGTGAAGACAAAAAATAGATAACTAAAAATTAGAATAATATGTTGTTAGAGAAGACAAAGATGATAAAGATAGAGAGAGGCGAATGAAGAAGAAGAAAACCCAAAAAAGAATGTAAAGAAAATTAGAAAGAAGAAGAAGAACAGTGAGCTGAAAAATATGAAGATATACGAAAAAATTGAAAAAAAAATTGGAAGAAGAAAAATAAAAAGGTGATGAGAACGAATATAAAATTGAAAGAAGAATAAGACAGTGAGATAAATGAAGAAGAATAAAAGAGAACAAATTAAGAAGTGTAAAATCTTTTGGATCTTTCTAAATGAATGAGGAAGATTATATCTAGAAAAACGAAAACGAAAACGAAAAATGGCGAAAACGAAAAATGTATATAATAAAAAATTCTACTACTTATATTATTAAAATCTTTAAAAAAAATTGTATCCGCACAAGGTGCGGGACAACCACCTAATTTATTAATATATACGTAGGTATATGTATTAAAACTTAAAACTAAACAAATGTTCATAATTATGAACATATGTCATGGAAATCACCGCAAGGTCCTCACCTTAGTCTCTTTTGGCTGAAACGGAAGTGAAACGACGACTCAGCAACTCTAACACCTTCTCTTCACGTAGACACAACTCTCTCAGCAGATGCCTTGAACCTGAAGAAACAAATATACATCACAACAACACGTCATGCCCATGACGTACTCTCGGAAGAAGACATAAGGGGAACCATGAGTCCAACTCACCTTACGTAGCACTAGACAACAAAGCAACGACCAATGATGGAGAGAGAGGAAGCTTGGGGCTTAAGGTTGATGCGGCATCTATGGGATGAGTACAAGTAATAATTCCCTAAGACAACTAGTGTTGCAAGTGCACAACATATAATTGTAGTATTTAGGGGTCGAACCACAAGGGATTGGATTTCACACATTACATAATCATAGAGTTTAAATGACTAAGCTAAATCAAAAGATGCAAGGGTTTGTGTTTGTTTAGAACACGCAAAAGAAATAACAATGCAATTCTATACAAGCAACATTATTGAACTATTGAAAACTCTTTTGAAAACATGAGCCAAGTCGATTGAAAAGTTTGTTAAAATCCGATTCTTTTGAACTCAAAACACTAAGGAAGGATTATTCCACTTTCGTGGTTCCAATCCCCTATGTCTCTTAAACCAATGGGCTCAGCTTTCGTTGGTCATTGTAGAGTGAGACATGCATTACATCCAAGTAATGATTGTTCACAAAACTCTTTAGGTCTACTTTCGTAGCCTAAAACGATTTGCCCATCAAATATATATCCGGAGATATAACAAGCTTTTGGAGAGTATATCAACCTAAAATCAAGTCACTAGTTAGCTACTCTAGCAACAAGCATTAAGCATAAATAAAGATGGAGAACCATAGGGTTTCCCCTTTTAACAATCGATTTTCGATGGCCATTATATCACGTCCTCATTGGAAGGATCCATAATTCAACAATGAGTCTTAGATAGTAGATGAAGTCTCATGAATCCTTAGAGAGAGAGGCGGCGGAATATAGACTAAACCACGCCTCACCCTTAGGGAGAAATCTCTACTTCTAGACTATATAAATTGAAACATGCAAGCTATATACAAATGCAAAAGAAGAAAAGAAAGAAGAAGGAGACCACCTAAGTGGCTCCGAACTTTATTGAATAAGTGTTTCTTGTTATGCGGCTGGTGATTCTTATTACAAGAGGCTAAAAGCAAGTATATATAGGTAGAGAGCGGGTCTAGGTCGGCAAAGTTGAGCGCGCGCAGAAGAGGAAAGTTTCCATTTCTCTTTAGCCGCTTGAGCTTGCTCTCCAAGTTCTTGAATGGGCCGCGTTCAGGCCAATGGAAGCTTCTGGATTGAGTTATGCTAGTGTCAAGATGAGCCAAGGCCTTGGGCGCGGTATCCGGGCCTCTTGATCCATCAAAGTCTCCATGGGCTCTACTTAGGCGCTCGTCGGACATGTCTTGGTAGAAAATAAGTTCCGGTCCAACGAGTGATCCAAATGACCTCTTTCCACTTCGCCGCGGGTCATGACTCAAATATCTATCTTTCCATATAAGAATCATGACTTTTGGACGTCGGGAAGGCATGAATATGCGGTCGTACTTCGGATGCTCCGGTTTGGTCTTTAGCGAGAAATGTAGATTTGGTGCTCTAGACTTGGGAACTTGGTGATTTGACTCTTTTTGCTCCATTTTGGACTCTTCTTTGCTATTTTGACCTGAATGATGCTCAAAACCAGAATATACAAGAAAACTACCTCTTGGGCTTAAAAACCACATTATTTGTATTAAAAACATAGTGAAAACCTTGATAAAAACATGAAAGATATGGATATATCAACTCCCCCAGACTTAGCCTTTTGCTTGTCCCCAAGCAAACTAAGAGAGGAAGAGAGGTTTGAAAACGCAAGAACTCTCAAATCATTAGGAAATCCGGGTTGGCTTGGTTTTAGTAATCCACATGAAAGTAGTAAAGGCAAATATTTGAATTAAGAACAAGAGTACATACCATGAGTTTTGCGATTTTTCCAAGGCGGCCCACCTCTCTTTGGACAATCCAATTCACCCTCCTTGACTCCTTTCATTTCTAAAGGTGTGGTCTCAACTAGGGAGTATCGATCAGCCGGCTTTAGACTCTTACTCATCCCCTTGTTTTGGCACTTGTCTTTTTACTCCATGTTTCTCCTCTCTCTCTTCTCACTTCTTTGAGTTGACTCATCCCTTTTTTAGGGTAGCGAAGTATTTTTTTATTCAACTCCTTCTCTTTATTATAGAGGTTTTGCTTGGATCTTCCACAGACGCGAGTATTGATGGTGTTTGCCACCGAATCCCCGGTTGCTTGGATTCATAGGCCTTCCATAGACGCGAGTATTGATGGTGTTTGCCACCGAATCCCCGGATGTATTGGATTCGTCCGTTTTGGTCGACCGGATGGTGATGGTATGGACTACAGCTCGAACCGTGAAGATTTCCTCGACCTATCTTGAAATTTCGTCGACCAATATTGTATAATATGGCGACTAGTGAGGTATGGGGTCGTTTGAACGTGTGGTTTGAGATCTCCTTTGAAAATTTTTCAAATTGGCTCCAGGAACGTCTTCCTTCGGCCTTCTCCAATTCTGCTCGTTCCAATCCGGATTTTCTTCTTTAGATGCGATGTTGATGCTTGATTGAGGTGTTTTGAGCCGGTGGCCGCGGTAAATGCCGTGATTTGGATTGTCGGCCATTTTACTTGCTCGCGATCGACCAAATTTCACTCCATCGGCCATCTCTTGGAATTGTAAGGGATTCATCGTACTGAAATGAAATTTCATCGACCAACCTTATATTTTGTGGCCCCTTGTGAAGTTTGAGGTGATTTGAACATGTGGATTCGGAGATCTTTCGTTGTGCGCGCCAATGGTGTCGGGATGTGATTCCTTTGGCCATCTTGTATTCTTGTTCGATCGTCTCCTTCCTTTCTTTTTCCTTGGTGTTTTTTGTGGACTCAAGAGGATCAGTTTCCACCGTTGTTCGCGCCTTCTTGATGTTTTGAGTACGTCGGCCATTCTATGCATCGCCGTCGGCCGTATTGAGCTTCCTCGTCTATCTCATGTAGCAGGCACTTTTTCTCGTCCTATCGTTTAGATTTGCCGACCAAAATGATGTTTTGAGGTCGCCTGTGAAGTTTGGTGGACTTCGGTCGTGCCGTTTGGGAGATGGTCGAGCTATGTCGCTTGGTTCGTCGATTCTGGCCGAGAGAGTGATTGGGAATGTGATATCTCCTTTTTTACTCGGGCTAATTGAGTTCTGCTTCGACCGAACTGTTTTTCTATCCCTCCTGGATTGAATTGTGGTTGGATTTCCCTCATCTCTCATGGTTGGCATGTAAATCCTCCTTTGGCCGGTTGTGGCTTCCTTGCGCGCCATGTTTGTTTGATATTTTGAACCGGTCTTTCCTGTCATGTTTTATATCTGAAAAACACTAGTAACTTTTGTGTTAAACTCTGTCAATGATTGAGTTGTTCAAAATAGTTTGAACTTCCCAATCAAAGACTTGATCGTGAAACCATATGTACTTGTGATCTTGATCAGAAATACAAACTAGCAACATCAGTGTTGCGGTATGACATGGCAGGGTTGGACTTGTAGTTATAGTATCCTTTGTTGTAACCTCCTTGCCCATTGCTCATGTAGCATACCTCAGCAAATTGTGTATCCTCCCCTTCTTGGACTGGTTCCATCTCCTCAGCAGACACAAAGTTGACTTTCTTCATTGTGGACTGAGCTAGGATCAGCTTATCCAACTTCTCATTCAATGCCTTAACATCTTTTCTCAACTTTTCGTCTGACTCGATCGAGTGGTGGGTCGAGCTCCGGTTGGTGCGATCATACTCTTCTCCATAGCTTCCATTTGAGTTAGCTATGTTCTCCACAAGTTGCCAGCCATCATCTACATCCTGGTTGAGGAAGTTCCCATTGCTAGCTGTGTCTAGCATCTCCCTATACCTAGGCAAGCATCCTCTATAAAGAGTGGAGAGTAGGGATTCATTGTTGAATCCATGGTGTGGGCACTGACTTGTGTAGCCTTTGAACCTCTCCCAAGCCTCTGCGAATGTCTCATTGTTTCGCTGGATGAAGCTGGATATCTCTCCTCTAAGCTTGGCTGTGCGACCGGTGGAGAAAAACTTAGCAAGAAAGGCCTTCTTGCATTCATCCCAAGTGGTGATTGTGCCATGGGGCAAGCTCTTCTCCCATTGGTGAGCTTTGTCAGCTAGAGACATAGGAAAGAGTCTCAGCTTGATGGCATCTTCAGAGACACCATTGATCTTTGTCAAATCACAAAGCCTATCAAACTCATCAAGGTGGTCAATGGGGTCTTCACTTGGCAATCCATGGAACATCTTGTTCTGGACAAGGTTGATCATTCCCAGCTTGATCTCAAAGTTGTGGTTCTGCACTGGTGGTGGAACAATCCCTTGTCTCTGTTGGTGGCGGTTTGGAGCATCTCCTTGACCAATCGGTCGAGTTTGCCTAGCTCGACCGAGTCCATTACCCAAAGGGTTTCCATTCCCCTCTGGTACATCCATTGTATCAGCAACAAGCACCTCAGGTTCCTCTTGTACCCTCTGTGACCTCTGAACCCTCTTTCTACCCGTTGTAATGTCTAGCTCGACCAAGTCTTCAGTTAGACCGACTCGATCGAGTTCGCATACACCTGCAAAAAGAGACAAAAACCCAGCAGTACAATAGAACAGGGGTGGTATAGCTTGATCGTCCAAGTGTGTTTGAAACTCAAATGCAACAAAAATATTCCCAAATCGGCAACGGCGCCAAATTGATGATAGGATTTGTGTGTGGATGTGAAAAGATATGAAATGAGATGAGTGGAATGCAATCAGTGGTATATGATGAGGTGGTAAGATGCAAACACAAACACAGTCAACAATTCCCTTTAACCATCATAGTTGATGTAGTACAAAGGGTTATCAATCCAAAATGGGAAACTTGTCACTCTATGAGAATATGAAACAACCAGAAAGTCAAGCAAGCAGTTATAGATTTGAAGTAACACTAACAACCTAAAAAAATGAAAAGCAGTGCAATAAAAGTAAACAAAGCAGTGAAGTACAGCTCGACCAAGACTCGAGTCGAGTCAGAGCAAAGTACCAGCTCGATCGAGTTTAGGGACGAGTTGAGACAAACAAAGCTAAAGGTGACGACTTTAACAAGATAAAGAGAGAATTAGGGTTCAAGACAGGGTTTTGCAATCAAAGGAATCTACACTTAATCAATCTAGCTCTTAAAACTCCTTGTATCAAGGCTTCTCTTGATATTGGGCTTCTCAATGCCTAGCCAACCCTTTCCCAAGGTGAGGCTATCAACCAAGGAATGATCTCAGAAACAGGGGGTTAGCCAGTGAGAATCAAACCTTGGAGGCTATAGGATCATTGCCCAAACTAATCCATCCAACCCCTTAGACCTCTATTGTCTAGAGCAAGAGATATTGGAGCTCTTAGTGGATCTTTTCCAGCGAATGCCATCACTTTCGTGTGGGGAGTCGCCTAAGGACTTACAAGCCAGGGGTAGTGGTCATGTAGCCTTAAGATCTATCCAAAAGAGAGAGAATCTAGATTAAGACCATAAGCTAGAAGGATTAAGCATATGAAACCTCTAATCTATCCCATCTCAAACCCTAATGGGTAACTACTCACTACACATGAATGTAAACACAAGCAAATGCAATAAAAGAGACATCATAAGAAAGAGGAGATGAAATTAAACAACTTTTATTGAAATAAGCAAGTGCAAATACAAAGAGATTATCCAGGATCTAGGATTCAAGAAGCAAGAGCTTCAAGAACACAAAGATGGGATTAGATCTCTAAAAAGTAAAAGACAATAAATTAAAAGAAACTAAAACAAAATAATCTAAAGCTTGGTGGTTTTTTCGTGGCTTAGAGCCTTTAAATACAAGAGGATTAGGTTTAGGGTCAAAGGAAAGTCAAGGGGGAAGCAACATTTTTCGGGTTTGACTTTGACTTCCAGCTCGATCGAGTTGAAGCTTGGCCGGTCGAGTTGAGGAACTCGACCGGTTGGTCGAGTAGGGGTCGAGCTGGTCTTCAAGATGGCTTCTCCCTTCTTCCTTTGCGTATCCAGTTGAGCTGCTTCCATGTGCCAAGTCCCTCCATGCTCCTTGTCCCATATGCTCCAGAATGCTCCAAAAGACCTATTTCAAAGGACCAAACATGCATATGTATGCAAATGCAACCTAAAACTAACATGAATGCATAAGAAGAGAAAAGGAACAAGATATGATGCAAATGGAAGCTAAAACTATGCAAAAGATGCATAAAAGATGTGCTAAAACTATGTAAAATGCAAGTACATCAGCGAGCCAAGTTCCACCAAGGCCAAGGAAGCCACACACTCTTTGATGATGAAGAGGAGGAGCCGCAAGCTCGATCGAGCTGCATGGATGTGGTCGAATGGAGTGCTCCTGATGGTCGCTTGCCCTCTCCAGACCACGACCTTCCTTCACAGTTCTTTGGGGGCACTAAGGTATCAAACACCACACTCTTGTATATACCATTTCATTTTCCATGCTTTTTTCTTTATTTTCCTTGGTTTTTGCCTCTTGAATCCTTCAATGA